GGGGGTACAGAGGTCCCCTATATATACTACTGTACATCTGTGGCTACGTAGTACTATACAGTACATTCCCAGGATGCACAGTCGCACAGAGAAGCAGTGCGTACACAGCGAAGCTGTGTGTGTACCACATGAGTAGTACAGCCTCGGTTATTGCAGTAACCGGCTGTGCCGTTCCATATCTTGTGACGGCTGTGTTAGGCAAGCTGTGTAAACCAGCGCCTGTTCAACACTGTGGAGTTGCGGGCGCCCAGTGGTCAGACGGTCAGCACATTCGGTGGAGCGCCCAGAAGCTGCTGACGCGACATCATCATACTTCGATATGCACCCGCATCTCTCGTATTCTGGAAGCTTTTGAGGGATTTCTGACGTTTCACGGTCATCTGAGGTGTTCTAACAGATTTCGTCACCATGCCCAAAAATTTCGGCGGGAGGGTTTTCCTGATGTCGTTGAGCTGATTACGGCGGCATGATTCACATGTGTAGCCCACAGCTCGTGTAAGCCGATGCAGGCCGCACCAGATCCTAGCAAACACTGCACTGGGTCAAGGCTGTGCGCTCTCTTTGTGCCTGTCTTTATTATCGGATTGCGATCCCTTGCCTTGCCTCGTGTTTTCGGCACAGCCTACTCCAAAGCCACTATTGCCCCTAGCGCATCTCGAACGAACGTATCACTCACTCCCGACAAGTGCTTCCCAACGGCTCATATCCTTTATGGACGCCCTTACGAACTCCCTCCACCCCCCGTCTTTGGTTTCATCTACTCCGCAGTCCCCGGCGCTTCCATGGGAGGTCATCGAGAGGGCCATCGATCTCTGCGCAGGCGACAAGGCCACGCTGTGCGCTGTTGCTCTCACCTGCAGCCAGCTCCATTCTCGCAGCATCTTTGTTCTGTTCACAGATGTCGACATGCAGAGCGAGGATCAGCTCATTCAGTTTCACAATGCTGTCCAAGCTCAGTCCCACCTTCAGCCTATCGTGCGATCTCTGTCGTTTCCGTGGGACGACGTCTCTCCATTCCCCTTGTTGTCCATCCTCCCCGGTCTCCGTCATGTCGCATTCATGAGGATAATGTCTATGATCAGGGACGATGACCAGCTCCCCCAGTCGACTCTACTGGGCTCTAGGCAAGTCTTGACTGGCCTTCGGAACCTAACTATCCACTGTGCTAGTTTCCACACGCAAACCATTTTCCTTTGCTTTCTTTCAGCCTTCCCGGACATCGAAAACCTTACCTGCGAGCATCTCTCATTATATGAACATATTCCTCATGGCGAACGGGGTATGTCCTGTCGAGTACAGCCGGAAACGCTGAATGTGAGCGTTATCATAACCATTTGTGTTCCTCGATTGTGACTCTGTGCTTCCTTATAGATACTTCAAGATGTGGATGAACGCATCACAGAGATGCTTATTTACATAGCCACTAATCAGCTTGCACTTGGGGAACACACTCGTGCGTATCTCGTTCCGTCTCCCAATGGTATATTTCATGTACTTCACATCAGAATCATCATTCGCCCCACCTCCTCAAGCAGGCGACGATTACCGGACCTCCTTGACATGGTGGATACAAGTCAATCCAGAACAACTCCAAGACGCCATCCGAGTATTACGTGATTCAGAACATACAGCGATAAGAGACCTTACTCTGGTCCTCTGGGATCACGACGTAGGGCGTCTATACAATGAATGCGGCCGTTGGCCTCCCAACGTGGAGCTCTGCACAGCCCTGGAGAAGGTCCTGCTCGGATATCCTGCTCGCCGTGTGCTATGTGCTATTGGATGCTCCCGATGGTATAATTCTGAATGCGCGGAGGACGATCTCCTGGTCAGACGAGTTCAGCAGGTTGTTTCGTCCACTAAGCGAGAAATGGGCGCTGACGGAAGACGTCAAATCCTATGAGTCTCATTGACCAACCATGAATCTAACGTCGGATGTTGACTTGCGTAGCCGGGAAACCCGGGCATGACTCGCCCGTCACTGCCCTTGTTGTCTCCTCAGATGGGCGGTGGGTAGCGACAGCCTCCATGGATGCCACCATCATCCTGTGGGATGCCCGAGATGCGTGTATCTCACAAGAATGGTTCGCTCACGACGGGGGGGTCTCGGATCTTGCATTCTCATCGGACAACCGACACCTCTTGTCCGCAGGTGAAGATGGCAAGGTCTCTGTAACGGATCGTTCATTATCTTATCTTATCTACATAGTTAATCTACATCTTGTATCTAAATCTGGATCGTCATGGTGATCGGCGCTGATCCATCTGGATCCGCGCGACGTGGCGAAGGCTTCTCAGCCTTTCACCACGTCCACCATAGTATACGCCCTCTCAATCTAGAGATTGGTTCAGTGTACTTTGGACTTGTGTGAATCAGGCGACACCCGTATCATTACACTTTTTTACACTCCATACCACGAATACGTGGGTTTCTAGATTGTATTGTGTGTTAGGCACCTACCATGACGGAACCCTCGACATCACACGCGACACACCGTGAGACCGCGAGCTCGACTCGAGCTTCGCCTCTGAGGCGGTCTCCCCGAGACCCGGACGCTTCGTCAGGAAGCTCTATCCCCGGAGGTCCTAGCTCGTCTGGCAGACGTGCGGACTCACCCCGAACCGGCGCTCTCCCAAGGTCCGCAGGGACCCGCCGGTTCTC